TGCGCTGCAACGCCGCAGTTGAATCCCATTTGATCCGCTTTATCTCAACTTTGCTGCGCTTTTTTCTCTTGTCTACTTTCAGGCTGTGTTAGAAGTCAGAAGCAAGTGCGCCAGGGAGACAAGCACCGATTTCTAGCCAGAGCTGCGACGCCGCTACGCGACAGCGCCGACCCTCATGCTGATACTTGTCGCTTTTATAAGCGCTAAAAGATCGCCCGATTCTTGCAAAGTATGAGGATATCCTTAACTGCAGATTTGCTATCGAATCGCTATTTCGGTCAGAAATAAAGTTTAATAATTCCCATAGAATGACTGATACTATGTCATTCACATTTTCCAAGCAACCATTCGCTAAAAGGAAATGATCTTTCATAATCTTAAATTTTGAATGGAGAGGAACTTTCTTCAGGGTCTTCTCAGATTTATACATAGTGTTAACTGAATGATTTCAGCTAAAAGGAAAGATTAGCGGACCACCTGAGCTACTAAGCTAAAAAGCGGCATCAATTTAAGCACTTTCCTCTATAAATCGACGGTAAGACGTGTCAAAATCTGCTACAACTTTCAGATGAAACACCAGATAACTGCAAAAACTAAGCTCTTAGACAAATCTTTAGCTTCGACCTTTGGTAGCAGTACTGCGGTACACAGATGCCATAGCGGTCATGATATGTAGTGTAGCAGAAAAATTGATATGATCCCGCAAAAGTGGACACTGCACTGCAGCCAAAGACGCTTTAATTAGAAAGTTTAATTAATGGTTCTCTAGGAAATTCTTGTTGACTGCTAGCTTAATGTGTAAGCGTGAGGTTTCTCACGTTTTAACGGCTCTCGTAAAGCGAATTAACACGTAAATATGGCATAGCAGAACTTGTCAAAGTAGGATAATGTTGTTAGCGAGCAGTATTTTACTCTTTTGCTTAAAATATTCTAAATCCTGCTCAGGCTCTTCCAAACAGAAGGAAAAAGGGCAGTCGTGGAATCCTAGAGTCCAATGAATCGCATGGAATTCACTGGGTCGCACAAAGCCAGGAAGAAGGATTCAGGAAAAAAAACCTGGTAGTGGAGTGACAAGGTCCAACCGGTAATAAAAGAAAAGATGTGCGTATAAACTGGCATAAGCCTAAGTCGGAAAGCGATCCACAAAATTATCTATTAGCAGAACATGCCACGAAGAAGTGGGTCAAGAAAGCAAAACATACATATGAGAGTTTCATATGATATTAGTACCTCGTAAAAAAGAGCGAGGTGGTGAGTGTAGTATTGAGTGAGTGTGAGTGAGTTCACAGTGCCTATTGGCACCTCAATCCCAAATTTGTCATGATGTAATTCGCCAATCAGTGCTGTATGGGCATGAATGTCATTCAAGTACGAGAAAAGAGGAACACAAGCTAGTGTCAGGAGACGGAAATGCACGGTGGATATTAGGTCACTCTACCAAATCATGCAATGACACGGTCCGAGCAAAGATGAAAGTTGCTTTCACCATCATGAAAATGCATCAGAGACCATTGTGATAGTACCGCCATGTTAAGCGACATGAGAAATGAAAAGTATGCCATAAAAAAAAAAACAAAGCCACTGATAGCTAATGGAAAAGCACGAAGAAGGCCAAAAATGCGGTGGAGGGACACGATTAGAAACTTGAAAGACAAACATGCCTAGAGCCGTGGAGTTTGGAAACATGACTCGTATAGCGGAAGCATGAACAGGCAAACGGGAGAAAAAAATCGTCTACTGTGTGAGAACTTCCTGTGACATCTGCCGCCCCATGCACGGGTCGGATCCAGCGCAGATTCTTTATTACCGTGGGCAAACATAAAATGCATAGTTCAGGATGACGTTTATGCGGAATCCATATTCTGAGACTTAAGATGAGATATTATAGCACGAGAAAGAGGACACAACCTCTATGAGATTTGTTTCTAAAAATGATCACGACGAGATATGAATGCTTGCGGAAAGAACTCTGTTTGGTAAAATCAAGGGTCATGTGAAATATAGGTAAGAGCACATCGCATATGTTGAAAAGGTTGGTTAAATTATGAACAATGTTGGATTGAGTTAATAACGCACTTAGTGTCCGATGCAGTTGATGTTGTTATGTGTATGTTTCTGTCATAAATTGGTGCATTTTTCTATGCAGCGAGGAATGGCTATCAATTTAACAGACTAACTCTGTAAGCTTAAATAAATAAATAAACTTTGCTGTAAAGCAAACGGATTGTTCATTGCAATTAGCGGAGAAAATCAGCGGCTTTGTAGGCGTTTACTAGATGTTTCCTGTATTTCCCAATCAGGGATGTAAAGCCAGATGAACCTCATAGAAAAAAAGGAAAACCTTTCCTAGCAAAGCAAAGATTTCACGGCTATATTAGATTATTTCAAGCTACAAACTAATTATAGTGCAAAGTAAATGACATAACGCTTGAATACTAGGAAACCTATAGCTTATATGAAACGGATCAAAAGTCTTAAAAATCATTGAATGACGACTAACCAGCATTTTGTCAAGACCACGAGGACCAAGCGAAGTGCGCAGGGTATTCGCAACGGATCGAGCAGCAAGAATGTGACTCTAAATTTGAAAATTTAAACACCGTAGAACTATTATAAAACGGAGTGCGTTTATTGAAACTTACAAGTATAAAACGACACATTTTTCTCTAAGCAAAATATGAGGCAGTTAAAAAATTTAGCCGCCATATTTGAGTCACAACATTAAGCATGTATGCCAGAACTATCTAGAGGGACAATGCATATGAAACATAACTTCACGATTACAAACAAGACATTAACCTTCACAGCTTCTATTCCTGTGAGCCGCTTTTGTTTTTCCTGGTCACGCATGACGATGAACGGTTGCCCGAACTCGTCGAACATTAGTTGCGCCATTGAAGCCATTCTTGATGACCAA